TATATATAGGGTGCGGTTCAATAGAGAACCATAATTAACAACGAACCAAAGAACCAATCGTGAGCGTCGGAAATCATAATGATCAACGGTCAAGGAAATCGATGTACACTTTTATATTGGACGCACACACACCGAATTATACCAAAAAATTCATCTCCTTACCCAAAAGCCCACCTCTTTTTTCGTTTAAAAATTTTTTTAGGCCACATTTTTTATCAAAAAAAAAAACTCGAATATACCGTTGTTTTCGATTTTTCGTCCTCTTTCCATAGAGATCCATGTTGATATATAAAAAACGAATTTTTTTTTTCGAAAAAAACTCACTTCATTTTATTAGTTTTTTCAATACTTAAGTTTATTTTTATAAAAAAAAAACTAATTATACCAAAAATATTAATTTTTTGTATTCTATTAATAAACATCAACACCGACTAAAAAAAAACCTCGAACAGTGTAGATTCACACTGTGAATATAAACTGTAAATATTTCAATTTTCAACATTCACAATGTGAAAAAGTTCGATCAGTTCAGATTCACATTGTGAATCTGACTTACTATTATGCTCACTGTGAATCTGAGAATGTTAAAAAAAAACCTCGAATAGTGTAGATTCACACTGTGAATCTAAACTGTAAATATTTCAATTTTTAATATTCACAATATGAAAAAGCTCGATCAATTCAGATTTATACTGTGAATCTGACTTACTATTATGCACACTGTGAATCTGAGAAGGTTCACAATATGAATCTGAACAGGTTCACAATGTGAATCTGAACCGAAATATCGGTTTTTTTTACATGAATATGAATCTATGTTTAAAAAGTACAGAAAACATGAATTTTGATATATTTATTAATTTTTTTTCTAAAAAAAATAGACCTTAATTTTTCAACAAAGAAAATGAAGTGAGTTTTTTTCGAAAAAAAAAGTTCTTTTTTTATATATTATCATGGATCTCTTTGGAAAGAGGACGAAAAATCGTGAACAACGGTATACTCGGTTTTTTTCGATAAAAAACATGGCCTAAAAAAAATTTTAAACGAAAAAAATGAAGTGAGTTTTGTTATAATCCGGTGCACGTGCGCCAATTGTAAAAGTCTACAACCCTTCTTTTTGTCGTTCATTGTTTTAAATTTCGACGTTTTGGATTGGTTCTTGGTTCATTGATTAATATTGAACTTTTCCATATATATATATATATATATATATATATATATATATATATATATA